GACCAGCTTAGGAGTCAACTTGGGAAGATCAAAGAATATGAACTGCCTTCTGCTCGCCTTATCATCCTGCCTGGGACTGTAAGTGTGATTGACTGTATGAATGAGATTCCCCTCCCTTCCCAGTTTTAGTTGAATAAAAAATCCTTTACACTCCCATGTGGTGATCCCCTCTCCTTAGTATTTAAAGCAGTTGCAATCCACATCCCCTTGCAACAAAGTGTGTCCAGTATTTTTGTTGAAACCATCGGGCAACCCTAGGTATTGACATTAACAGGGTTACACCCTGAGTCCTAGGAATGGAGTAAAGGGGGTATTGACATTAACGGGGTTACACGTTGAGCCCTAGGAAGAGAGTAAAGGGGATATTGATAGGGTTCCAAGTGTCCGGTTTTGAACTGGACAGTCCTGTATTTGAGCTTTCTGTTCGGGAAACAAATTGAAACAATATAAATGTCCGGTATTTTCTAAATAAGATGTAATGTAGATTGTGATGTAATGTCAAGTGTGTCCAGTATTTTTGTTGAAACCATCGGGCAACCCTAGGTATTGACATTAACAGGGTTACACTCTGAGTCCTAGGAATGGAGTAAAGGGGGTATTGACATTAATGAGGTTACACCCTGAGCTCTAGGAATCGGGTAAAGGGGGTATTGACATTAAAAGGGTTACGCCCTGAGCCCTAGGAATGGGGATAAGGGGGTATTGACATTAATGGGGTTACACCTTGAGCCCTAGCCGTGGCAGAGACTTTTATGCGGGTAACAAGGGGAAAATGCCCTGAGCCCTAGGAATGGGGATAAGGGGGTATTGACATTAATGGGGTTACACCTTGAGCCCTAGCCGTGGCAGAGACTTTTATGCGGGTAACAAGGGGAAAATGTGCTGCTCTAACACTTGGAGCATAGACATTCTCTTAACACAAGCTTTGCAAGCTTGTCTTGAATTATGACACATCAGCTTACACTGCCATATAGTCAACACGTCAGCACCAGTAAAATGTGTGTACAGTGGCAAAAGTCTCATCAACTGTAGCAGAACCAGGATTTTAGCCAATATGTCCTAATGGCTCAGTAGTATTCCTTCCTTGTAAATGCAGCTTAGTTCCCTCCCATTCCGTTACATTACATAGTTTGTGTCAGGTTTGCTTCTGTGCTCAGATGACAGGTATGGATTTAGAGACTGGGCTCTCTGCTCTCCCTTCTTTCCCTCTTGGTTTCCAGCAGCCTTTATGCAGGCTGTTTTTCTGCTCCTTCCATGCTGGCCTAAAGTGGATTTTGCTTTGTGCTCTGCCTGAGCTCTCAGCCTTTGCCCAGCCCCCTCCTTCCTCCAGATGCTCCACCCCGCTCACTGCTCAGCTCTGTGTTGGTGTGAATGAATGAGAGAGGGGGTGTGAATAAGTATGACTGTGCTGGGCTCAGCCTGATTTACGGCTCTGCTGAAAACAGCTTTCCTTGCAGCTTCAGCAACAGCAGCAGCAACAAGTGAGGTAAGTGCTGCTCTCTGCACCACAGAGGCGGGGGGAGAAAGAAAAGAGGTGGCTTGCTGCAGTCAGGGCATGTGTCTGCCAGTGCAGGAAGGAATGGGGTTTAGGGGTATGAACGAGGGAAATGGACTCAGCTCAGAGCCCTCGGCAAACTGGGTGTAGGAGGCAGCATCAGACACCATGCACACTGCAGGAGATGTGTCTCCTAACACACGCAGCAGAGAGAGGAGAGGCTGCAGCTCTGCCTAGCCTTCCCCAGGCCATACAGAAATAGTGCCCTTGTTTTATTTAATCAATTGCCATTAAAACATCTTTGTGGCTGCTGCATGCATGTTGCCAGCCCTCCTCTTTTGCTCTCCTCTGCATAGAGCTAGCCTCTCCTTGCCCCCGTCTGCCTGAGGTCCTCATCTTGCATCCCTCTGTCACTCTCCTTGAGCATTTCTGTAGGAAAGCCATCATCTGCTCCTCTCTGCCAGGGGCAGGGCACCATGTACTTATATGCATACATGTGTACAGGTACAATTTTAGATTTGTTGTGTTGGCAGAAACAGTTAAAGGCTTTTTGCTTACTCAACAAATGCAAAAATCTTGTTATTGGCCTTGATCTGTGAGTATCATTGGGAATAATACTGAATGTATGAAAAAGCATAATAAGCTATTTAGTTTTTCAGCATGCTGCCCTATAGACTACTATTGAACAAATGGCTAGCTTTTCCTACGTATGTAGTCTGACTGCTAAATAAATGCTACAGGGTCAGTTGCTCTCAACTGTTTCAGCTTCCCTAAGGAGAGCTTTGTGGCAGCAAAAAAAAGTGAGAGAATACATTGTTTTATTTTACTGTGTGATGTGCTGCCATTCACAGGAGATGGTTGTACTTGCTTTTCCCAGAACTTGTTTGAAAAATCAGTCTGAAAGTTTTTTCTTACTACTTTTATTAGCAAAATATACAGTACTTCTCTCAGGATGCAATAAAAGCATCTTTTGAAACAAACCTGAAAATAAGCTTGTGTTTTCTTTTCCACCAGCATTCAGAGAGTAATGCAACAGGACACTTTTGAAGAAAGCCTACACCCCTGGCAGGAGTCATTTGAAAATGTCAGTATCTGCATGCCATTTCGTTGCCCACGATGTGGTGACCACACTAGATTCAGAAGCCTTTCTTCTCTGCGGGCACATCTGGAGTATGCTCATAGCTATGAAGGAAGAGGTCTTCTGACAAAATGCAATTTATTTTCATCCTTCAAAGGTGCAGATCTGCTCTCTTCCTCAGAGACCACGATTCAAGGAAAAGTGGGAGACCCTAGCAATGCAATAATACAAAAATCATCCTTCATACATTTTTGTGACACGTCTCACGAGAACCCAAAGAACAGCCAATCCCTGGAGGCGGAAGCTGAAAGACCTGTCTCTTTTGTGGCAAATTATAGGTCTGCAGACTTCATAGATGAGCAGATTTCTAAGCCTGGGGTTCCAACAACAGACTCCAAATCCTCTTTTGAGGCACATGTGCGAGAAAAGTTTAACAGGATGGTAGAAGCTGTAGATAAAACAATAGAGAAGAGAATTGACAAGCTTACCAAAGAGCTGGCCCAAAAGACTGCTGAGCTGTTGGAAGTTCGGGCAGCTTTTGTGCAGCTGTCTCAGAAGAAACAGGAAGTTCAGAGACGAGAGAGGGTCTTGAACAGACAGGTGGATGTTGCAGTTGAGATGATTGCTCTGCTGAAGCAACGTCTTACAGAGTCTGAGGAAGAACTTCACAGGAAAGAAGAGTAAGTGGAAGGGCAATGGAAGCACAGTGTTGATAGCTTTGCATGTGCTTGTAGAACATATGCAATATTAGAATAGATTTATATATGAAAACATGTTGTGGCCACTATTGCTAACTCAACATGAGAGAATATGGGTGCTGCATGAGATCTATTGTTCTTTTTACTTCTGTACTTTGGGTCAGAGTCACAAAGCCTACTGCACTAGCATTATCAATTGTATTGCATTTGCCACCAAAATCTTACCATGGGTTTCATACAGAAGAAGTGCCTTTCGGTTACGAGAACCCCTATTACACAGTGCAGGGACAGCTTAGGCAGTGCTCCACCAAATTTTACCCTCTGTTATGCCCGTGTAAATCCTTTGACTTCTCTGGAGTCACACGGGCATCACTGAGACGGAACTTTGACTTAAACAAATTAACACATATTCTGCATATCATTTTTTAAAAGTGAGGTTTAAGAAAGGCCAAATTGCAGTGCCCTTGTCACTCTGAATGGCAGCTTATTCCTAGCAGTCCTATCAAAGTCATTGAGGCTACTTGTAGAGGAAGGTATTTTCAGTGTGAGCAAGGCCATCACATTCTGGCTCTAGCAGATGGCCAACCCCTGCCCTGTGTTATGTGGATGCAGCACAAGAAAGTGGTAAAAGGAGTTTCTTCTCCCCAGGGGAGCAGCAGCGGAGGGTTGTAAGCTAGTGTTCAAGAAGGCATTTCTAAAAAAACCTGGAAACGGTTGGAGGGTGGAGGAGGAAGAACTAGATCTATAACAGCAAAATTATTTATGTCATTGGAACCACAAACATATCCCAGACCCATTTTGACTTGATGCACCTATTAAAAATGTAGCAATGTTTGTTACATTATTTATGGATGAACTACTTATTTCACATTCTCAGAAGCTCTTTCAGACAGTTTTCCACAACAACTTATTTTTAGTAAAATGCATGTTCTTTAAAATGTGATGCTTCTAAATTGGTTCATTAGGTACCAAAAAGAAATATAAGGCAAACTAGTAGATATGACAGTGATTTTAAACAGCCATACATTTTCCAGAATAATGGATCCAGTCCTGCAACCTTTATTCATGTGAACCAACTCCAAAGGGAGTATGGTCGCAGACTTCATTTTCTGCATAAGTAGCATTAGTAGCACCAATCAGAGCAGTGGTCAGAGAAGTGTTCAGTTCTGGGCCCCCCACTATAGAAAGGATGTGGATGCATTGGACTCATAGACTTTAAGGTCAGAAGGGACCATTATGATCATCTAGTCTGACCCCCTGCACAATGCAGGCCACAGAATCTCATCCACCCCCTTCTAGAATAATCCTCTCACCTAAATCTCAGATATTGAAGCCTTCAAATAGTTTGAAGACCCCAAGATGCAGAGAATCCTCCAGCTGTGATCTGTACCCCATGCTACAGAGGAAGGCAAAAAATCTCCAGGGCCTCTGCCAATCTACCCTGGAGGAAAATTCCTTCTCGACCCCAAATATGGCGATCAGCTAAACCCTGAGCATGTGGGCAAGACTCACCAGCCAGACACCCAGAAAGTTCTCTATAGTAGCTCCTATCATCCCTCCATTGACCTATTTACCACTGATAATGAATGGTCAATTAGTTACCAGGATCATGTTATCTCATCAGACCATCCCCTTTATAAACCCATCGTCTGTGTCTACATTGGCACCCTTTTCCGGAAAAGGGATGCTAATGAGACACTTTGGAATTGCAAATGCCGCGGGGGATTTAAATATCCCCCCAGCATTTGTATGAACGTTTCTAACCATTAGAGGAGTGAGGTTCTGGAACGGCCTTCCAAGGGAAGTAGTGGGGGCAAAAGATCTATCTGGCTTTATAAACCCATCGTCTGTGTCTACATTGGCACCCTTTTCCGGAAAAGGGATGCTAATGAGGCACTTTGGAGTTGCAAATGCCGCGGGGGATTTAAATATCCCCCGCAGCATTTGTATGAACATGGCTGCCGCTTTTTTCCGGCTCGGGGTTTTGCCGGAGAAAAGTGCCAGTCTAGATGGGATCTTGCGGGAAAATAAGCCCTTTTCCGGAAGATCCCTTATTCCTACTTGAAAGGAACACAGCCAGTAAGTTTAACGCCCAGAGGTGACTTCACTACTGCTGAACTAAGTTTAACCATCCCATGGGGCAGCAACAGAAGCAAGGTGTTAGAGGCCCCCAGGGCTGTGAGGTGGCAAGTGCCTGTGCCACAGATGTTCTTCCTCTAAATATTAATGTTTTAAAGGCCTTTTTAAAAGAGAACTGTATCTCACAACATGTAGAATACATAAACTTCCCATGTTACAGTAAATATGACTTTAGATGTCTATTGTAGTAATTGGCAACAGCTGATAAGATCATTCCTTACCACAATCTGTTGTGAAATGGTAGATGCTATTTCTGTAGACTTAAGAATGAAAGCAATTTAAAAATATGTAATTCAAAGCCTAAAAGAGTCTAAATCATTCAAGTACTTGGAACAGTTGCCAGTACAGCTGCATGGACTATGGAAAGACATGCTAACATGTTAGTAATTTAAAACATTAAAAAATACTCTAATTGTGGAAGTTTCTCTCTTGTTTTTATCTAAGTAATACAGACTTTAGAGAGAAAATGAAATCAAGTTAATATAATAAATTTGCCTTTATCTATTACACCAGCTATGCCCAGACATGAAGTCAAAGTAAGATGCATTTAGTAGGTTCTTAAGACTTACTTACTACTAATTTGTAGTAAGAACACACTTCCCCTTTTTTGTGTGACTGCTTTGATCAGCAGTGATACTTTAAATGATGACATGGTTAGGCCTTAGAGTTAGCATCCCACCATGTCCCATGAGAGCAGTTTACACCGCTCAGAAATATGTGCTGGGAGCAGCAGGCCTGGTATACACTTGGATGTTGTGCAAGTATAACGTTTTATGTTAGAGTTTTGGTATTGAATGCTCCCCATCCTACATCAGAGTTTTGCACTTGCTCAACATGGTATTGGCTGCAGAGCTGGGAGCTCATGATCTGTACTAACTCGGTAGTTGGCTGCTGCCAGAGCAGGCCGGAGCATAAGCTGTGTGGTCACTATCTCACTGAAATCTCAGTGAGTGGGATCGCAGCCTGGTGCAGGGGGTTGCAAAGGCACTAGACTTTAGCCTGGCTGCCTCCATCCAGAGACCAACGTAGCCTAGGACAGTTGATGTTGTGACTGGGTGTCTGCCCCTGTACAGCGTAGCACATGGGAATCCACCAAGAACTTGGCTTCTGGCAGCCCCAGCTCATGCATTGTTTGAGTATGAGAGAGGGGCAGCTCCGCAGCCTAGGAAGCCTGGGGGCTCTGCAGCAGCTGAGGGGCAAGAGGGAACCTGAAATAGAACACTCCCCCAGCAGTATCTGAATTGGTGCCACTGCATTAATGGCATAGTCATGACAGTGTAGCATCCTGGTACTGGTATAAGTGCCTCTAAACGAAGGGGGTTGGACTGGTTTGACTACACTGATACAGTTAAAGTGGCACTACTTATGTGGGGGGATAGGAGCCCTAAGGCAGACATACTGCATCAATAACACACTTCACATTGGGAAAGTCAAAAGGGCCAGAAATGACTCTTTCTATTTTGCAAAAGAAAGTTTAGTACTATCAAACTTTAAATACAGTCACCAAAGAGAACTTGAGGTCACCGAGCCACCTCAATGTTACCCAAGACTGAGACTACACAGATGAGTAAAGGCTGTTAGTGGAGCACTTGAGCAGATTTCTGAGTTAATTAGAAAATGTGGGCAGAAAGGAGATAATATTTGATGACGGAGAGTGAGAGTCAGCATGACTACCATGGGCTTCAGAATAGCACGGAAACTTGCAAAAAGGGGCTACATGTTAAGCTGTAAATTAGATCACAAACTAAGAGCAATTATGATTTCAAGAGGGCACCTCAAGGCTTGTTTCTGGAAAATAAGGGGATTTATAGGTATGGTGAAAACAAGCCAAGCAGAAGGGGTTTGATTGTAATAAATGTAAAGAGAATAAGTGTAAGACCAGGACACATTTGTGTATTCCTAAATTTTAGTATGTGAGAAGCATTTGAAATATTAGAGAATTGGGCTTACGTAGTTCTCTCTGCCTGGATTTTTTTTTATGACT